GTCAGCTTGCTAGTTTTGACTTTTTCCTGACCTTTGGCTTGGTTCCTCTATATTCCACATATACGTGAGACCATCCAATATTTTTCTTTTTCTGTCTGGCTTATTTCACTGAGCATAATCCCTTCCAGCTCATACCAAGTTGCTGCAAATGGCATGAGTTTATCTTTTTTGATTGCTGAGTAATATTCCATTGTGTAAATAAACAACATTTTGATCCATCCATCTATTCTGAGGGCATTTGAGTTGTTTCCATATTGTGGCTATTGTAAATAGTGCTGCAATAAACACAGGAGTGCAGATTTCCTTTTGAATTAGTTGTAACACATTTCAAATGTGCATCTCCTACTGGTTCTGCTTACTCATGTTCGGTAGAACTGCCCTGGACTATAATTAATAATGTTCTATTGTACTTTTGAAAGTTGCTAAGAGAGTAAATCAGAAAAAGTTGCCATCATGAGAAAAAAAAATTTAACTATATGAGTTGATGGATATTAACCTATTGTGGTGATCATTTTGTAATATATACATATATCAAATCATTATGTCATATACTTCAATTAATACAATGTTACTTATCAATTATTATTTTGGGAAAATTAAATCTATAAAATGGATATGCATTATAAACCAGAAGACCTAACAGTATCCTTGGAAAAGTCTCTTAACTTTTCCATTTCTAAATATGATTCTCAGTCCTAAGTGAGTTAAGCTGGTAGATCTGGAGTTTCTGAACTTTTGCTATTCTTTTCTATCCAGGAGTGACTTCCTTGCCTAGTTTTCAAGACCTAATCTTATGTGTTTGCTCCAGGAGCCTCCTGAACTATCACCCACATAGCTATTTGATATTTATCCAAAATTCCTGCCATATACATGTCTTGACTTTCCAAGTAAATATGTTTTTTCAGGACTCAGACCACTATATATAAATTTTTATAACTTTTGCAATATCAAAAACAATGCTCTGCATTCAGAAGACATTCAACAAATTGTTGATTTTTTCATTACAAATTACAGACTGCGAGAATTTTCCATTTTTCTCTCTGTGATGTTCCCCTGATAAGCTTGTGGATATGACAGTAGCTCTCCAAGATGAAGCACGCTTACTAAACTAGTAAAAAGAAATCATCATGAAGCTTTAAAATGAATGGTGAAGACAGAGTTCCCATCAAATAGCGTGGAAGAGAACGAATAAATGCCGGCAAATCTCACACTGTAAAACCATATTTCTCTTATTACTCTTCAGTCTCCCAGGAACATTCAACTGTGCTTCATTTGCACATAAGGAATATGCTTTCTTCGCCCGTGCTTCAATGCATTTTAAGCAAGAGTCACAAAAATTTCTAATAATCTGAATGTAATTGGAGTTTTCCATTGATTCTTCAGATTTCTCCATGCTGTATTTCTTTTAATCCTAAACCTTGTATTCGTTGGTGAAGCTCTAAGCAGCACACACTTTAGGAATGTCTGTACCTAACTTTTCTGGCTGAGGAACAAGAGATAAAGGGTATCTGTGTTTACAGCATGCAGACAGTGTCAAAGCAGTGACCCTGCCTTAAATATTTCTTTTTTTTTTTTAAGATTTATTTTTATTTATTTATACAAGCACTGGGTACAGTCAGAAGCGCAGGAGGGTGACAGAATTCCCCAGGGCCAGAGTGGGGAGCAGACAGGCAGACTGACGAAGAAATACACTGCTGAGGGAGCAGCGGGCGGCAGGAGAGGTCTGCATGCCATGTGGAACCCTCGCCCGTGGCCGGGGATCAAACTGGCGCTACAGAGGCTGCGGGCAGTTTCGCATCCCAGCGCTCAACCGCTGAGCCACCTGGGAGGCCCTGCCTTAACTATTTCAATGTCACAATGCCCTCTACATTGCAATATCACTGCTCTTGTTATACTTTAACTTAAACATTGCACCTTATTGTCCTCATCTGGGTTTTTACCATCTTAACTCTGTACTCTACTTATGATCTCTTATTTTGAATGATAATAACAGAAAATTTCACTTTCTTCAAAAGGAAAGTCTTGCTTCACCTTTGTGGAGTATAAAACAAGACACAGGTGTGAATTTTATTAGTGATGATTTCTCTGGTGTTATGAAATAAATACTAACATTTGTCTTCACTAGCCTTTTATGAAAATTGCTATAATTATGAATAAACTAAAATATGAAAGAAAATAGCATGCCCCCCAAGAGATAGGATCCTTTAAATATTGCTTATCAATTGTTTGCTTACCTACTAATTTGAAAAATTTCAGTAATTCACAATGGATCTCTTTATCAATGTTGAGAATCCATCATGTTCTACTGAACCCACTTATTTCTCTTTCTTTGGCTATTATTTATCACTGGGCCAGGTAACTGTGTTATTGGTATTAACTGTTCTGGGAGAACATTCCTCTATATTTGAAATGAAACTATCATAATACCATAATACTGCTTAAGAGATAAAAGACATAAAATTTTATACCTATGATTTTTCTGTCAGCAATAGGTTAGATATAGATTTTTTAAAATAGCAATTGGTCCCAGTTCAGGTTAACGCCAATTAACCGCATGTTGTCTTTTGATGAAATGTAATCATATTTCCTTCTCAATTCTAAACCAAAGCTGCATTTTTTCCTTTTAATTAACATTTGTTTATTCTTTTTTTTCAATATTTTATTTTATATAATTCTTACATCATTTTTCATCTTTGTACAGTGTATGCATTTTCATTTTGGTTAGAACTAGAGTCAAAATAAGGGGGGGGTGCTATTGTATGGGGAATATAACCAAAATGAAAATGCATACATTGCACAAAGAAGAACATTTGTATATTCTTGAAATGAAAATTATCAGTATGCCTATGGCTCTTTAAAACTTTGTTTTGAAAAAAGCACATCTCTCTGTCCATACAAAACTGAATGCTCCATAAGGATTCTGAGGCTGGCTAATGCCCGGTGCTTTTATTTATTTATTATACATTTATTAACTGCATGAATCACATACAGAGATTTAGTACTAATGAGCCAATTAGTAACAAGTTGTATCAACTGGTTAACAAGTTGTATCAACAACTATTCTAACATAACCATCGCTCATTTATATAATTGATGCTATCGCTATCTTACAATTTTACACAACCACTGTTTAATTTGTACAGTAGACTCACACATATACCTATTTAATCTTAGAACCCTTGACAGTAGATGATTCTTTCCCTTATTTTACAGGTGAGTGAAAAACCTCTGATTCCTCAAAACTGCCTCCATTTGTTTTATATGGTCATGGCTTCATCACTAGATTTCTACAGTTAAAATGTCCTTCCAAATGCTTATTGAACTAGTGATGGATGAAATGGTATCTTGTCTTAATTTTGCTTTAAAATAATCTGAGGATCGATGGCAGGGAGAAGCTATAGGAGTGGGGGACATAGAGATGATATATGATTGGTCCCAAGTAGCAAATTGTTGAAACTCAGGGATTGGTAGAGCATCATTCTCTTTACTAAATGTAGGAAATAAACAAAGGGGTTTATTTTTAAAAAGTTGAGAAGTAAAAATAGATAAAATAGTCCTTTTCTAACGTGCTCAGCTAATGATGAGCAGTCTTCTGCTATTAGATTTACAAGCTGACTCCACCCACTCCCACATCAGCTGCATCAGTCTAACATAAACCAGTTCTCATATCCAACTGGATACTGGTTAAGAAGCTTTGCAGTGCAGAATCTAACAGAAGGCCCCAAATATTAGAGCTAAATAGCTAGGTCTTTTGCATTGGGATAGTATGAATACAACATGACAACCACAGGATAATGTGTTTCTCATTGTTGCCTGGTATTTACAGCCCGGTAGCAAAAATCACAAGCAAAGTTAAATCCGTGCCTGTGAGCTTTAACTGTGTTCGGCAAGAACTATCTACCCAAGTTATCTGTTCCTACACACAGAGCTCTGAGATGACCACCAGAACGGGTCTATGAAATAGACCCTGGGCTCAGCAACAAGGCCATGAAGTTGTGAAAGAGTTTTCCCCCCAAAAGTAAAATTATATTGAATCCTCAACTTCAAGATTCCACATACGTCAATACAAATTGATCAAAAAGTAGCTCTTTCTTTCAAGTTTTTTTAAAAATGAGTTTGTGGAAAATGCTGTTATTCAAGAAATCAGAGCTGCCTCTTTTTTGAGATTAACTATAATTTGTCCAACTAAAGCAAGCAAGTCCTTAGCATCCTGGAAAGGAATTTAATGACCAGTTACCCTGTTCACAAATGGGTGTCATGACCCTATTATTCTCATTTCACCCCAAGAGGGGGAGGAAGGACCCCTTACTAGATCCCTGCTTGAGGATGGATTATGGATCAGGATATAACAAAGGTGTAGAGGAAAGAAAATAAGAAACAGCAACAGGCACATCACTGGAATCACTCACATGTGGAAATGTGTAGCACTGGCATCCCTTTTTCAAGCTATGCTAACAAATAAACATAAATATCAAAATAATTGAAAGGTTATTGGCAAGAAAAGTAAAAGCAGATATTTCTAATCTGCATCACAGCACATTATTACCATAAGCAGTCAGAAAAGCAGTTATACAGATTAATAAGGACAACATGTAGGGCTGATATTGTTTCTTTCTCCAAATTAACATGCAACACTTTCCTCCATATTCCCAAAAGGTGACATCAGATTGCCGAAGAAATCGAATTTAAGCATTCACTGCTATTTATGAGAAGACCATGATGCAAACTTAAAGAATTGCTAAGTGATCTTTCTGCTTGCAAACTAGAGATTTGTAATATACAATAAATTATGGGTCAGTTCTTTAGAATCTCCATCATACTGACATTTTAATTTTGAAATATGAAAATGGATGTAAATATGTAATTATATAATTCCGAAATACTGCACGGAGTAATTAATGTTTTCTTAGCCTAAGATGAATTATTCTTAAGACAAGCATGAAAAACTTCAGACAGCCTGTTCAAGTGCATCGTGATGAGGTGGAAAGACTCACACTTACATGTGATAGCAGAGCCAGCTCATGGTGACATGTGACAGCGTTCCGATTGGCTTCCATAAAATACCTCTGTGTGCGCCTTCGTTCCCGTTCCAGCTTTTTCTCCAAGGCCAGCTGGGATGTAGACAAGCTGTCTAAATACTTCATCATGACATCCGATATCATGGAGCTGACTTCTACAATATCTGGCCGGGCTTCTGCATCAGGAGTCAGGCACCTAAGAGAAGATAAGCTAACTCAAGCAGCCTGCTCAAGGTCAGGACCAACCCATGGGGTGTGGAGGGTCAAGGTTAAACTCTACTCTGTTCACCAAGGCGTTTGCACCCAAGAAAATTCAGGGTAAAATGGACATCAAACATAATTTTGAACTCAAGACATTTCAGAAGGCATTTCAGAAAGCTGTGGACGGAAACAGAGGCAGAACTGATCTCGCCCTCGGCTGGCAGGCCAAAGTTATGGGCTGAGCAGGAAGCTGGTTCTCGGGCAGGCAAGGTCATCTTCTGTGCAAGCTGGTTCTTTCCTAAAGTCACTGCCATCTCACTGGCCAGTAAAACAGAAGATCCCAATAACCTAGGCCCTTGTGACAACCCCCAAGGCATCATCAGAAGGAAGAGAGTTTCCTTTTTTGACCTTTTCCAGCTGTATTGCAGGAATATCCACCCAGCTTGATTAGCGAGTCTCAGAAAACACGAAGTCATAAAAATAAAACACAACCCAGTTACTTAGAGGTTTAAGACTTGCAGTACTTTTTTTAAAGTGGCTAACTCGACACATTGCATGCTAATATTTTCTGTGATTTTGGAGCTGGGCAATATCAGACTACAGAAAGGAGTATTGTTTTTGTCACAGCTTAACACTTACAGAAGGTGATTCTAGATGCCCAAGGAGCCCAATTATCAAAATCACTGATTAGCATGTGTTAAAAACCTCTGGGACTCAGCATAGTATTTTTTTCTAATCTTTGAAATTCAAATTCTCTAACTTCACTGAAGTCAGGTTTGCTTCTCAACAAAATTTAACTTGGTTGGACTTGCAGAAAAAGATCTAATTTTCACATATTGTGCTTGATTTAGTAACTATCATTAGGGCAACTTTTACCTATACCGATGTCTCTAGGAAAGAATTAAGAATTATAGCTCACAATTATTCTTCAAAACAGAAGTAAAAATAAGACTCTAGTTCATTAATTTGCTGTTCATTCTTTTTTGTTGAATTTATAAATGTGAGTAAACAAACACCACTTTTTTTTTAAGGGAACATTGGTTTACAACACTGAATATAATTCAGGGTTTCAGGATCCCACCTCTTCAGATGTATGTTGCCACATCACACCCACCACCACTAGGGCACCCATAATTCTCCACAATAGTCCATAGGCCCTCTCACACATCCTGCTCTTACCTCTGTCCACCCCCATCATCTCAGTTCTACAATCAAACTTCTAAGGTTTGTTATTGACTTAGTTCTGTCTGACCTTTTGTCTTATTTCTCTATATTCCACATAAAAATGAAACCATCCAGGATTTGGCTTTCTTCTTCTGATTTATTTTGCTTACCATAATCCCTTCCAGTTCCCTCCATGTTCTCACAAAAGGCAAAGTTCAACTGCTGTGTTTTTGTTTTTGTTTTTATAACTGAGTAGTCTGCCCTTGTGTATATGTGCACATTGTCCTAGTCTACTCATTTGTTCTGGGACATTCAGGTTGCTTCCATAACTTGACTGTTGCAAATAGTGCTATAAATAGTGCTAAACGTAGGAGTACAATATCCCTTCAAATTAGTCTTTTTGCATTCTTCAGTTAGACAACCAGGAGCGGAATTACTAGGTCATATGGCAGATCTATTTTTAATATTTTGAGAAGCCTCTGTACACTCTTCCACAGGGATTGAACTAATTTGATCAGTTTTTAAGACATTCCCATTTTATGCATTATTTTCATGCTATTTCTTTTTAACTTCTAAAGCAGTGGGTTTGCCCTCTTGTTACAACATCCACTTACATATCTGCTGAATGTTTATGTTTATGAATTAAGGTAGGAGATTGCAGAAATAGAGCCAGCTATATCATTTGGGGGTGCCCCTGCAAATATGGGGCCCTACAGGGAACTGAGACGTCAATCTCTCTGTCCCTGCTGATGGTAAATAGGAGCTCCCCCAGAGATTGCAACCTCCATACCCACAGATTTGGCACCCAAACTGGAGGTGGGCAAGAGACCCCCACTGATTTGCCCATCAAACACAGCACGGTGCTGTGAGTCTGGGCAGAAACAGCCTTATTTTTACTCCCCTTGCCTGCCCCAGGATGCAGCAAGGCCCAAGCTCCAGCCTGACCCTTTCCTCACTTGCATTTGTTGCTGACACAGCCAAAACAGGCAGAGGGCAGCAGCAGGAATGGGACAGAAAGACAGAGCTGGACACCAGGCAGGACACAGGGGGTTGGGGTTAGATGCCTGAGAACTCATAACAAGAGGTGGGAACCCAAGGGACTACACATGAACTAAAGTTTCAAGCCCCAACCCATGCACCTTATCCAATGAGATATCACGTCCAAAACACAGTTTCAAAGATCAAATCATGAAGACCTTCAGGACCTCAAAGGCAGAGCCTTGATCCCAAGCACAGGACTGTTTGAGGGCAGGAGCCTGTGACTGATCATAGCGCGGGAAGCCTGGAGTGGCAAGGACAGATTCGTACCCAAGGTGCTGACTTTTGCTCCCACTCCGAGAGACCAGATGGAAAGAATAGGGTGACAGGATGTTCTGTTGTATTCATGTCATGTTTTCAGAAGCAAAGAGTTTAAGGTAGGGTGGAAAATGTGAAGATCCACCAGCCCTTAGAACAAGCTAGAAGCATGAACTTTGTTAACTGTCCCGACTGCCTCTGGAACCAAGCTCCAGACAGCTTATGCAACCAGGCGCAGAGAAAAATAAGGTGACTGAAATATTTTGTTCATAAAAGGAAGCATTTTTCCTTTTTAGAAAGTAAACAGGCAATACTCTCTTACCAGTGCACGGAAACGTAAAAATAGTAACGCTGGCACTGGGCAGGGCAACAAAATGCATTTATTTTCTGCCCCAAACGCTTCAGGGTGGCTAGAGCAGTATTCCAGCTTAAAAGCCTGCTAGGAAAGAAAAATTCCAATGACAAAATGTGTCACCTGCTCGTCCACTACATGAGCAGGCGGGCAGCGGGGAGACGTCGACTGAGAGGTACACACTGCGCTAGCTCTCCCCGAGAAGGTGCCAGAAAGTGAAAGTGAAACAACAGCAAAACAAAAGAGAGAAGACACACGTGGAAACAACGCCAAAGACAGAGCCCAGCAAGCCTTTCCCTCTCTGCGGTCCGACATGTCAAAGGCCCTATCCCACGGCTGGTGACTGGCTTGGAGCCTCATGTGCTGAGTCATAAACCACCACTAAGAGCCCTTTGTCTGTATGTATCCCTTGTATCCATTTCCGGAAGAAAGTGAGAAACTAAGAAAAAGTGGGAAATTGGAATCTGTGCCCTAATTCTTTGGGAACTTCATTTTTTCGGTAACTAAAAATCCAAAGCGAGTGAAATATGCGAGCGCATGGAACTCATGACTGATTTTGGTTATAAGCCAAATTTTCCAGAGAGAAAAATTTTGTGATGTGAGCCTAGATAATGAATCTTAAATAACGTGAAGTGAAAAAAAATATCTGCTATAGAATGCATGGCGTGACCTTAATATGCAATTATAAAACTAAATTGTGGGTTCTCGCCTATGTTAAGTGATTTGCATGCGTCAGTGTAATCAGCACGCCTGCCCCATGGTGCTGTAGTACAAGCCCCATTGTACTGGATGAGGAAACAAAGATGCAGAGGGAATGGTCAAGTTGCTTGTTCAGAGTCCACAGTCAGTGAAACTCACCCCCGGGTTGCACAAGGAGATTCAAGCTATAATCCTACAAGCGTGAGGGGTCCCCCTAAGTGAAAAACAATGGGCTGGGAAGAGAAACCACAGGCGGGGGCGCAGCCACATGTTACAGCTGTTACATTCCATTGAGATGGTGCTAGGATCTAGGAAAGACACTGAACTGAGTTTTAAGGGAACTGGGGGGGAGGTGTGGGGTGTTTCTTGATAATCCCTGTATGTTAGAAATTGTGAAACTAATCAGTTACCTGCTGATGGTATCTGTCACTTTCTCGGAGTAGATGCCTTCTGGCACTGGTTCATAGACCGCCTCCACTATCTGCAAAACAAACAGACTCCCATAAAAGAACTAAAGGGAACCCTGGCATCTTTAGTGGTAAACACAAAGATGAGTAGCTCAGTAAATGTTGTAACTTCATGTACACATTTTAATCAGAAACAAAAACACCCAACTGAATAAAACATCAACATCAATGAAATAGTTCTTGAACATGGAATTGTATTCATCAGGCTAATTTCAAGCTAGCCTCAGATTCATCGTAAATGATGTGTAGGATAATATGACATGCAGGCTTGCAGGTAGTTTCCAACCACAGTTAAAAAGAAAAGACCAAAAGGAATGTGATAGACTGAGCTTTATAATTTTCTATGATAAATGAAGACAATTATAGGGGAAGAGGTGCCACAGCCATGATATATAGTCAGAAGAAAGGGGGCAAAAACAATTGATCGTGTGGCTAATAAATCAATGCCCGCTTCTAATTTTATCACTAAAGTTCTAGTTAAGAAGAAAAGGGATGGTTTTCGCCACAGGAGACCCTTTAGCCTCCCAAGGTTGCTTACTTTTGTGGCCAGGGAGAGCATGTTGGTGCTGTAGAAGGGTGGGTTCAGCGTGGCCATCTGATAGAGGATGCAGCCAGCAGCCCAGACGTCCGCCTTCTCTCCATAAGGCTCACTCTTCAGCACCTCGGGGCTGAATTCAAAGAAGCCCGTTAATAGACACTGAAAAGGGGAGAACTTGGCACAGAAAGATCCAATGATCAAACTATAGTTGGAGATACATATTTTTTAATGAAACTCTAGATTACTACTTCAAGTAAACACATTAAAAAAAAAAAAATCTGAGTTTCCCCAGTCTCAGATAATTCAAGAAACATAATCAAGACATTCCAGTTTAATCACTGAATATCACCAGACCATGTCACCTGGCCTATTAAGTGTCTGGGGAAGCTTTTATTTTATTTCCAGAAGCAACTACCCTTCTGGGGGGCAGTTGGTCCCAGTTCTTTACTACTCTGGAGGTTTGGGTGATGGCCGCTGGGTGGGCAGTGCTCATGAGTCTCTCCAGGTTTTCATGGTGATGGTATTGTCTTGCTTTGGCCAGTGGAAGTGACAGCGCACAGGTCAGAACCTCAGTCTCACCAGGTATTTCATTTGTCCCTCTAGGAGCTTCTGTCCACTACCAATTGAAAGTTGTATCCCAGGTAACTGCTGTCTCCCCAGCTTTTTGCCCAGAATAAGAGACATGGAGCAGATCTCCCCCAGCTTCCCATAAACCTGCAGCCTGAAGGAGAACCTGCCCAGAGGACCCCCAGACGGGCAAGGCTGACAGTAAATGCTTTCTGTTTTATGCCACTGAGCTTCTGTGGTGATTTGTTATGCAGCGTTGTTATGGGGAAGCTTGCCTGATGCAGCTACTTCCCCTTTTATGCAAACTCTAGTTTATAAAGTAGGGGTAAGGCTGTATTTAAGTACGCTGCAGGAAACGATGACATGCAACACACTCACCTCTCCTGAGACTGCATCTCTGATGTGGACAAGCCTGCTGACCGTTTAAAAGTGAAGTGAAACTGGGGGTTTATGGGCATGTCATTTTTTAAAATGTGGTGGGAAGTTTAGTTCCCTTGCCTATTTCGGTCTAATAGAAGTTTCCTCTATCTGATTTGTAGGATGAAAATCATCGGCGTGTTCAAAGCACATATCTAACACCCCAAGTTTGATAATTCAGTTCGATGCTGTGTATTTTAGAGGCTGCTCAGTCCCCTAAATTAATGTGGTGAGGATTAATGGTTATCTTGGACAGTAGATTAAAGTATAAAGAAATTGATAAATTGGCATCAGGAGAGTCAGAATAGATCTAAATCAGTCTGGACTGTTAAGAATAACCAAGAGAGTGTGTTCACAGAACAATCGTGTGAAGAGGCTGAAAGCAGGCAGCCAGCTGCAAGCCACAGAGAGAGGGGCCTCCGGGGAAACCCCCACTACCTACGTCTTGACCTTAGACTTCCAACCTTCAGTACTGTGAGGAAAAAAATTTTTGTTGTCTATGCCCGCCGATTTGTGGTATTTTCTTATGGCTGCCCCCCAAAATGATGCAGGGTCTATGAGAAAACCTACTCATATGTTTTTTCATCTTCAAAAAGAACTCTCAGCCTTTGAGAAAACCAGTTAAAGCAACTGATTCAATCACTACTTGCAAATATCATATGGTTTTCTGGAGACTATGGTTTAGCAAAACCACTGTAAAATAATTCACTGTCTTATAATTTCCAATTTTTCCACTTACCAAGCGCCCAACCACATATAGAGAAACACAGAGAGTTATAGCTGATGATGCCATTTATGGAAATAGACATGGAAGATGGGGGTGATTTGGGGAGGGGAGTATAGTCTGCCTTTGGGGAGGATGGTTTTGAGGAATCTGTATGTCGAGGCAGTAACTGAATGCCACATTTAGTGTTCACATGGGCCTGGGACTGGACACATGCCTGTAGAAGTCGTCAGCGTGGAGGGGCATTGATAATCAAAGTGTGAATGAAGGTGTGAAGAGCTATGAAAGGAAGGCACAGGACCAAACCCTGGGGATTTTTAATATTTGGGAGTCAAAAGGAGGGAGGGGAATAGAACCTGAAAGAGGAAGGAGCAACCAAAGAAGTAAGAGGAAACCACTTATGAACTAGAGAAGGAAGCCTTTCAACAGGGAACTGTGGTGGGTAATGACTTCCCAGAAGTCAATGTCTTTAGGAGTCACTGGAGTTGGCTGGTGGTCTCAGCAAGAGTCATTGCAGTGATGAGTTATGGGAGATGCATAGGCTTCAGTTATGTACAACCATGCTAAATTTTACTAAAGCTCTGAGGTCCTGGGAAAAACAGCAATGATCAAGGAAGATCCCTCTCCTAGCCAACCTTTTGTGCTTCAGGAAATGACTTATTGCAAAGAAATACCCTTCCCCATGTAACTTTAGAGAAGACCCAGGCATGTTGGCCCTGTCTTCCCTTGACAAGGTCATACGGACTTTCCAAATTCTCTTTCTTTGCCTCAAAAACAAGTAACCATATTATTTTGTCCCCGCTCTCAATTCTATACCATTTGTGTGTGTATCTATTTTTGTCCAATACCAGGCTGTTTTAATTGTCAAATAAAAGCTTCTATAGAGTGAAAGAAACAGTAATTAAAATGAAAAGATATCTTACTGAATGGGAAGGAATACTTGCACACCATATACCTGACAGAGGACTGATATCAAAGATATACTAAGAACTCAAGGAACCCTCCTACACTGCTGGGGAATGCAACTGGCCCAGCCCTTATGGAAAGCAGTATGGAGGTGTCTCAAAACATTCAAAATGGATCTGCCACTCAACCCAGTAATTCCACTCATAGGTACCTACCCCAAAATTCAAAAACATAAATTTGAAAGGAAAACTTGCACCCCCATGTTTATTGCCGTGCTTCTTACTATATTTAAATTATAGAAACAACTCAAGTACCCAAGAATAGATGAGTGCGTCAAGAAGATGTGGTATATGCACACGATGGAATATCGCCAAGCAACCAAAAGAGATAAGCTCATGTCATTTGTGGCAACATGGATGGAGATTGAAAGGGTAATGCTAAGTGAAATAAGTCAGAAGGAGAAAGATAAAAAGCTAGCATTGTTCCGCCTCTAAATGAAAAGCTTTTCTTGTGCCTGAGAGGAAGACACGGCCTCAGTTTACTTTTAAACAGAGAGACAGCCATTTCAGGATGCGATAGTGTTTCCAGGATTAAGGTTTGAGAGAAGAACTTAAAAGGAGATTGCTGATCTCAGAGGGTAGACGTGACAGAGCAGGGCTGCCCCGAGTGTGTTCTCCATTATCACGCTGTGAGCCTCCTAAGTGCCAGTACTTACCACAGACGATAACATTATACACACACACACACACACACACACATATACACATCTGACAACTAGGAATTCCTAAGAACAAGTTCACATATATTACTAATGAGCAGAAGAAATACTAGGACTAAGATAGATTCATTTGTTGACGGGGATGTAATTGAAGGAGAAATTAAAACTTTGAGAGACATTAAAAAACTATGATCGAAAAAGTGTCTCATTGACAATATGATGTGGCATCTTGGAAGTGGCATTTGGAGATATCATAAAAGAAATTTTCCCATAAGAAATGATAGAAAATACTAATGAAAGAACCTTGAGGAGCTTGGTACTTAGTGGAGGCTAAATGTTTGGAGACGAGTTTCTTTTATTGATATAATTCACCCAATAATATATGCTTCACTGGATAAAGACAGAAAAGGGATTCTGTATCCCACTGCAAAGTATTAATTCTGAGTCTATTAAAAAGTACATTTAGTTCTCATATTCTGGCTATCCAACTTGCATCTCCCTAGACTGCCTTTAACAAAAGGAGCGTGAGAACCAGCTTACTGTGTTAACTGAAACAGAAATAAAGATGTAATTTTAAAAGCATGTAAACTTATAAACTATCAGTCTGAGAACACAAGATCCACTGTTTGCGCTATCAAAGATGCAAATGTCCATGCAACTTCATGATGATAAAAATCTGATTTGAAGTGA